GGGTGAGCATGGATCATAATCATTTTCAGATATTTTGAACTCTATTTTCACCACTGAAATTTCAATTTAGCAATTGAGAATCCAAATTCATTTATTTTTATTTATCACAAATGAAATACCCTTCCTGTGAAAATGAGGTTTTCCAGAGCCCTTTGAATTATAGGTGGCATCTGGGCTGTCTTAAAAAAAGAGATCTAGATTGTTTCTGAGAGTCCATAATAAATGGTGATTAACGTAACATAAAAAAAAAAAAAATAGATCTAGAGCTCTCAAGTCTACCCCAGTCAGAGAGTAAGACAGGTACAATTTACATTTTGTCAAGTTGTTTGAGGTTCATCATTTTTTTTATTATGTTATGTTAGTCACCATACAGTACATCATTAGTTTTTGATGAAGTGTTCCATGATTTATTGTTTGTGTATGACACCCAGTGCTCCATGCAATATGTGCCCTCTTTAATACCCATCACCAGACTTACCCATCCCCCCACCCTGCCCCCTAAAACCATCAGTTTGTTTCCTGGAGTCCATAGTCTCTCATGGTTCTTCTCCCCTTCTGATTCCCCCCCACTTCATTTTTCCCTTCCTTCTCCTAATGTCCTCCATGTAATTCCTTATGTTCCACAAATAAGTGAAACCATATGATAATTGACTTTCTCTGCTTAACTTATTTCACTTAGCATAATCTCCTCCAGTCCCATCCATATTGATGTAAAAGTTGGGTATTCATCCTTTCTGATGGCTGAGTAGTATTCCATTGATTATATGGACCACATCTTCTTTATCCATTCCTCTGTTGAAGGGCATCTTGGCTCTTTCCACAGTTTGGCTATTACGGAGATTGCTGCTATGAACGCTGGGGTCCATATGGCCCTTCTTTTCACTATATCTGTGTCTTTGGGGTAAATGCCCAGTAGTGCAATTGCTGGGTCATAGGGTAGTTCTATTTTTAACTTTGTGAAGCACCTCCACACTATTTTCTAAAATGGCTGTACCAACTTGCATTCCCACCAACAGTGTAAGAGGGTTCCCCTTTCTCTACAACCTCTCCAACATTTGTTGTTTCTTGACTTGTCATTTTTTGCCATTCTAACTGGTGTAAGGTAGTATCACAATGTGGTTTTGATTTGAATTTCCCTGATGGCTAATGATGATGAACATTTTTTCATGTGTCTGTTAGCCATTTGTATCTCTTCTTTGGAGAAGTGTCTGTTCATGTCTTCTGCCCATTTTTTTGACTTGATTATTTGTTTTTTGGATGTTGAGTTTGAGAAGTTCTTTATAGATCTTGGATATCAGACGTTTATCTGCAGTGTCATTTGCAAATATCTTCTCCCATTTCATGGGTTGCCTCTTTGTTTTGTTGACTATTTCCTTTGCTGTGCAGAAGCTGTTATCTTCATAAAGTCCCAAAAGTTCATTTTTGCTTTTGTTTCCCTTGACTTTGGAGACATGTCTTGGAAGAAGTTGCTGTGGCCGATGTCAAAGAGGTTACTGCCTATGTTTTCCTCAAGAATTTTGATGGATTCCTGTCTCATGGTGAGGCCTTTCATCCATTTAGAATTTATCTTTGTGAGTGGTGTTAGAGAATGGTCGAGTTTCATTCTTCTGCATGTGGCTGTCCAATTTTCCCAGGACCATTTATTGAAGAGACTGTCTTTTTTCCATTGCATGTTTTTTCCTGCTTTGTCAAAGATTATTTGACCATAGAGTTGAGGGTCCATATCTGGGTTCTCTATTCTGTTCCATTGGTCTGTATGTCTGTTTTTGTGCCAGTACCATGCTGTCTTGGTGACCACTGCTTTGTAATATAGCTTGAAATCGGGCAATGTGATGCCCCCAGCTTTGTTTTTCTTTTTCAACATCTCCTTGGTGGTTCAGGGTCTTTTCTGATTCCATACAAATTTTAGGATTGTTTGTTCCAGCACTTTGAAAAATGTCATTGGAATTTTGATCGGGATGGCATTGAAGGTATAGATTGCTCTGGGTAGCATAGACATTTTAACAAAGTTTATTCTTCCGATCCATGAGCATGGAATATTTTTCCATCTTTTTGTGTCTTCTTCAATTTCTTTTATGAGTGTTTTGTAGTTCCTAGAGTATAGATCCTTTACCTCTTTGGTTAGGTTTATTCCGAGTTATCTTATGATTTTTGGTGCTATTATAAATGGAATTGTTTCTTTAATTTCTCTTTCAACAGTTGCGTTTAGTGTAGAAGAAAGCAACTGATTTCTGTGCATTGATTTTGTATCCTGCCACATTACTGACTTGCTGTATGAGTTCTAGTAATTTGGGGGTGGAGTCTTTAGGGTTTTCCACATAAAGTATCATGTCATCTGTGAAGAGAGAGAGTTTGACTTCTTCTTTGCCAATTTGAATACCTTTTATTTCTTTTTGTTGTCTGATTGCTGTGGCTAAGTCTTCTAGTACTATGTTGAGCAATAGTGGCGAGAGTAGGCATCCTTGTGTTCCTGATCTTAAGGGAAAGGCTCTCATCTTTTCCCCATTGAGGATGATATTCATTGTGGGTTTTTCATAGATGGTTTTTATGAAATTGAGGAATTTTCCCTCTATCCCTATACTCTGAAGAGTTTTAATCAGGAAAGGATGCTGTATTTTGTCAAATGCTTTTTCTGCATCAATTGAGAGGACCATATGGTTCTTCTCTCTCCTCTTATTAATGTGTTCTATCACATTGATTGATTTGCAAATGTTGAACCACCCTTGCATCCCAGGGATAAATCCCACTTGGTTGTGGTGGATGACCCTTTTAATGTATTGTTGGATCCTATTAGCTAGGATTTTGTTGAGAATTTTGGAATCCATATTCATCAGGGATATTGGTCTGAAATTCTTTTTGATGGGGTCTTTGCCTTGTGTGGGGACTAAGGTAATGCTGGCCTCATAGAAGGAGTCTGGAAGCTTTCCTTCTGTTTCTATTTTTTGGAACAGCTTCAGTAGAATAGGTATTATTTCTTCTTTGAATGTTTGGTAGAATTGCCCAGGGAATCCATCAGGCCCTGGACTCTTGTTTTTTAGGAGGTTTTTGATCACTGCTTCAATCTTGTTACTGGTTATTGGCCTATTCAGGTTGTCAATATCTTCATGTTTCAGTCTTGGAGTTTATAGGTTTCCAGGAAGGCATCCATTTATTCCAGGTTGCTTAACTTACTGGCATATAGTTGTTGATAATAATTTCTGATAATTGTTTCTATTTCCTTGGTGTTAGTCGGAATCTCTCCCCTTTCATTTATAATTTTATTAATTTGGGTCCTTTCTCTTTTCTTTTGGATAAGTCTGGCCAGTGGTTTATCGATCTTATTAATTCTTTCAGAGAACAAGCTTCTAGTTTCGTTGATCTGATCTACTTTGTTTCTGGTTTCTAATTCATTGATCTCTGCTCTAATCTTAATTATTTCTCTTCTAATGTGTGGCGTAGGCATCGATTGTTGCTTTTTCTCTAGTTCTCTAAGGTGTAAAGTTAGTTGGTGAATTCGGGATTTTTCTATTTTTTTGAGTGAGGCTTGGATGGCTACGTATTTCCCCCTTAGGACCACCTTTGCAGTATCCCATAGGTTTTGGACTGGTGTGTTTTCATTCTCATTGGTCTCCATGAATTGTTTAAATTCTTCTTTGATTTCCTGGTTGACCCAAATATTCTTGATTAGAGTGGTCTTTAGCTTTCAAGTGTTTGAATTTCTTCCAAGTTTTTTCTTATGATTGAGTTCCAGTTTTAAAACATTATGGTCTGAGAATATGCAGGGAATAATCTCAATCTTTTGGTATCAGTTGGGACCTGATTTGTACCTAGTATGTGGTCTATTCTGGAGAAAGTTCCATGTGCACTTGAGAAGAATGTGTATTCTGTTGTTTTAGGGTGGAATGTTCTGTATATATCTATGAGGGCCATCTGGTCCAGTGTGTCATTCAAAACTCTTGTTTCTTTGTTGATTTTCTGCTTAGGTGATCTGTCTGTTGCTGAGGGTGGAGTGTTGAGGTGTCCTACAATTAACATATTATTATCAATGCGATTCTTTATTTTGGTTAACAGTTGGCTTATGTAGTTGGCTCCTCCATGTTGGGGGCATAGATATTTACAATTGTTAGATCTTCTTGTTGGATAGACCCTTTAAGTATGATATAGTGTCCTTCTGTGTCTCGAACTACAGTTTTTAGCTTAAAATCTAATTTGTCTGATATGAGAATTGCTACCCTAGCTTTCTTTTGAGGTCCGTTGGCATGGAAGATGGATCTCCATCCCTTCACTTTCAGTCTGGATGTATCTTTAGGTTCAAAATGAGTCTCTTGTAGACAGCATATGGATAGGTCCTGTCTTTTTATCCAGTCTACAACCCTGTGCCATTTTATGGAAGCATTTAGTCCATTCAAGTTGAGAGTGATTAATGAAAGATATGAATTTATTATCATCATGTTGCCTGTGAAGACCTTTTTTCTATAGATTGTCTCTGTAAATTTCTGTTCTATATCTCTCTTGGGGTCTTTCTCCTTTTATAGAACCCCCCTTAATATTTCTTGCAGGGCTGGCTTAGTGGTCACATATTCTTTCAGTTTCTGTCAGTCTTGGAAGCTCTGCATCTTTCCATCCATTCCTAATGACAGCCTTGCCAGATAAAGTATTCTTGGCTGAATGTTCTTCTCATTTAGTACCCTGAATATGTCTTGCCAGCCCTTTCTGGCTTGCCAGATCTCTGTGGATAGGTCTGACGTTATTCTGATGTTCCTCCCTCTGTACATAAGGAATCTCTTACCCCTAACTGCCCTTAAAATGGTTTCCTTGTTTCTAAGATTTGTGAGTTTTACTATTACATGCCGGGGCGTTGGTCTGTTTTCCTTGATCTTGGGAGGGGTCCTCTCTGCCTCTAGGACTCGAATGTTTGTTTCATTCCCCAGTTTAGGGAAGTTCTCAGCTACAATTTGCTCAAATATATCTTCTAGTCCTCTCTCTCTCCCCACCCCCTCAGGAATCCCAATAATTCTGACATTGGAATGTTTCATGATGTCACTTATTTCTCTAATCCTATTTTCGTGGATTTGGAGCTGTTTCTCCCATGCCTCATCTTTTTCCTTCTTTTCTATCAGTTGGTCTTCTAGATTACTAATTTGTTCTTCTGCTTCATTTACCCTAGCTGTTAGAGTATCTAGATTAGATTGGATCTCATTGATAGCAATTTTAAATTCTGCAAGTTCAGCTTTCATTTCTGTCCTTAGAGACTCTATGTTGCCATTAATCAATTTCTCCATTCTAGCTACTGTCTTCATAACTGTTAACCTGAAGTCCATTTCTGACATCTTGTTTCTATCTGTATCCATTTGTAAATCTGTGGAGGAAGTTACAGTCTCTGAGTCTTTCCTATTTTGGGGGTTCCTCTTCCTAGTCATTCTGTTGAGGGGTGGTTGAGGGAGTGTACAGAGTCCAGATTATTGACCACAACCCAAGCAAGATGCATATCTTTTATAGAGACCTTAGGGTTGTCAGCCTCTTGTTGTCCCTGTCTTCTGGGAGAGGGGCCTGCCACAGGGTTACTCAGGCAACCCTGTTTGGGCGAGTTGCCCTGCCCCCTGTGGGGGGGGGATGAGCTCAGTGAAAACCATTTTTGGGGGGCATCTGTTCTCTGGCGGCTTTCCCTGGCAGCTTTCTGTGTCTCTTCTGAGAGAGCAGAAGAGATCATTTCCAACCCTCTGCCTCAGAGCAGAGAGATCGCATTCTTTTCTTCAGTGAGCTCTCCAGGCCACACTATCTCTGTTTCTGTCTGTGCTGCTAAAAACTGCAGCATCCTGGGTTGTGAGCCCCTCAGCAGCACTCCCAGTCCTTGCCTCCAGGTCAGGGCATGTCTCTGCCTTTTGTGCTTCTAAAACTGCCAGCCTCCCCCAGTTTGCATGTGTGGCCCCGCTGCTCCAGGTTTCAGTCCAGGGGGCTACCACTGCTACCGGTCTGCGAGTCTGTGCCCTGTCCCCAGCAGGGAGGCTTTCATGCACTGGTGGTGCAGGATTCCGAAGGCTCCCTCCCCCTTCCATTTATCTTCTGATATCTGTCTGCAGAATCACAGCTCCCCTCTTCATACCTCAAAACCAACCACCTGCAATGTTCTGTTTGTAGAGATCCAGATATATCTTCTTACATCTCAGGCTGATTTCGTGGGTGTTCAGAGTAGTCTGGTAGATATCCAGCTCAATTCAGGGGACTGTTTGGAATAGGGTCCCCTACTCCTCACCATCTTTTCCCTTCCCCCTCAGTGACATATACTTTACTAGATACATTTGAAAAAAAAAAAATGTTCAGATTGACATATTCTGTAATTGGATGAAGGACCCATAACTTCTTCATTTAAAAAAAAGAGATGTGCTTCTTTGAAATTCACAGAAGGTCACCATCTTCCTTTATTTCAACTAAACAAATTAATAAGTGTTGTCAACGACTGTTCCTATTAAAATCATCCAAATTACAATTTATAAAGGCTCTATTACAGAGGAGGAAACAAAGCTCACTTGTCCGTGGTCACTTAAATAGCAAGTAGTTGGTCAAGGTGGGAATCAGTTCTAGAAAGTCTGATTCTAGAGTCTTTGTTCTTAACAGCTGTATTTCCTTATTGCTTCTAGAGAAGAACTGATGTTCTGAAGACTGCAGTAATAGTTATTATAAACCAAATGTTCAGGTCTCACCTATGGGGCCAGCCGTGGTTCTGCAGACAAAGTAATGAAGAAGCTTTTACCAGGCCAGGTACTGGCGTTCCCTGATATATCATATATATCAGGGAATATATATAATGAAAATAATAATACTTGAAATTATCAAATATTAAACTCTATCTCTCTTTAATCTCTGTAAGGGAGCAATTTGTCTTTTAAATTTAATCATATTTCACTGTTTTCTTATTTTTGTTTATTTATGTGTTTTAGTTTGATTCTGAGTAAATTAGCAGAGCTATTGACTATGGTTAAATAGTTTACTCACTATCTCTCAAACCTTAGGGCTGGAGGAAGCTGCAAAGTCACATCAACTTTTCCAAAATTTAGAAGTGAAAAGAATTCAGGGATTGGTGAGGCCAATATGAGCTTTTGCAATAGAAGAGTGGAAGAATGGCTTCTATCTGCTGCTCTCCAGCTCTGACTTTATTTCCTGAGTTGGACATTCAGTTCAGGAAGGGAAAATTCACAGCTGTACATACAATACTGACACCCAACAAAGGGCAGAAATCCTAAGCAAGGGGCTCATGCTGCTGCATATTCATGGATGCAAATCAGGCCACATGGCTATAGCATTTGGCTCTGAGATTTTCCAATCTGGGTATTAACAAGGATTCCTGCAAGTTTCTATGAATATTAACCAGGAGGGGGATGTCAAACAGGCAGTGAGTGCATGAAGAATCTTTTCTTCCAGCCTATTTGAAAAATGCAAGCTTCTGGTGAGAGGATGCTTTATCTTCTTATTTAGCTTTTTTTTTTTTTTTTTTTTTTTTGTGATTTGGGGCATTGCAGGGCTTCATTCATGGAAGAAAATTGGTAAGACTTGGGCCATGGATTCTTATAGAATCACCAGCAGCCCTGAACATAAGTGCCATGAAAGCAGGGACCATGGCAATTACTACTGTATCCTGAGCTGTAAGCAGAGTTGGTTCCATGTGTTAGTTATCTATTGCTGCAGAACAAATTGCCCTAAAACATGGAGGCTTAAAACAAAAATATCATCTCATATTTTCTATGGGTCAAGAAACTAAGCGTGGCTTAGCTGGGTCCTTTAGCTCTAGTTTTTATTTGTTTTGTTTTGTTTTGTTTCAGAAAGCTACGGTCAGTTCAAGGCTTAACTGTGAAGGATCTACTTCCTAGTTGGCAGGATTTAGTTTCTCAGGAGCTATTGGCCAGAGGCCTTGGGGACCTCTCCATAGAACACTTCACAACATGGCAACATGTTTCATCAGAGTGAGTAAGGGTAAGGGCAAGGGACAATGTGGCAGCAAGAGAGACAGTGCTAACAAGATGTAAACCACATAATTTGGGTGGTATACAATTATATATTTTATCTACAATTATCCAAACTCATCAAACGGAAGACTAAAGATCAGTTTTTTAAAGGGCTTATATGGGAACTCTCTGAACTATTTTTTACAAATCTTATGTAAATTGCAAACTATTCTAAAATAAGTTTTTTAAAACAATTATTTAAAAGGGAGATTGGGTGGGGACTTTAATGGTAAGGATTCTGGAAATGTGAAAATGACATTTTTCAATCTCACTGGATCTTCATGTAAAACTAGACAGAAAAGTTGGATAGCAAAACCAAAACCCATGGGTAACATATAGCACCAAACCAGATGGTAAAGTTACCCCACAAACTCCAAAATATAAGAGCTAATCACAAACACAATATATGACTAGTAATCATAAATATCCAGTGGTGTCTGTGTGTGAAGAAACATCCAAACTGCCATTAATACTAACATGAAACTAGGAGCACCCTAAAATACCCAACAGGTATTGACTAGAAAGAACAGAAAGTCTATTTAGGAACAGAAGCTAAAACTGGGAAGAGTGTCGCCCTCTCCAATATTGACCAAGGGTGAGGGGCATGCCACAGAAAATTCTAAAGTGACTGTAGCCTCCTCAAAATCAATAAAACAGGACTCCCAGTATAGGGCCCCACAAGGAAGTGCAAAGTGTTGGACCTCAAACTGGGCAGGTTAGGCACAGTATAAACAAAGAAAAGGTCCGGAATACAGTTAGAGAGGTGAACAGATTCAGGACATTCTGGAAAACAACCCCTGCAGTTTTTAAACAAACAAAAATAACAGAAGAGGGAACTCTGGAATTGGAAGAACTTTCCTAAGCCAAGCTTATTAAAAGTTCGGGAAAAAAAAATAATCCTACATAAAAACAAGCAAAGGAAGGTATTCGATCAAAGCTCATATAAAGTTATTATAAGAAAAGAGAAAATACAGATTGGTATAAAGGACCTATTGAACATTTATAGTTTTGAATTTTAAAGTTTCAAAATAAATTTGTGTCACTATCTCTGTATTTATGCATGCATGTGTATCTCTTCTAGTTTTATCCACTAAAAATATCTAAAAGGAGTGAACAACTCAGTAGCAATATACATTCTAATCAACCATATTTGACCTTGAAATAACACTCCTCACTGAAAGAAAACAGAGATTCTTGGAGAAATGACTGATTGTCTAGGAAAGGGATGTTTAATTTTACATACTCTGGAATCTTTTTTTTTTTTTTTTCCTCATACTGAAAAGGATTTCTGTTTATTCTTTGGATCAGTACAAGGGGGATTCTATTTGGAGATGTTCTTTTAAGGGGTTTAAGTGTGTATGTGGCAGACGGATGGGGAATACCTATTTCTGGATGCAAATAAGTATTTCTTATTTTTAAAATCTCTGTATCTTTTATTAGACTTAGAGTTTGTTGTTTTTGCTATTGTTTGGTTTTTTGTTTTGAGGCACTGAGGCTCCGTTAACCTGACTAAATCTGAAGGTTTAGCTGGGCTAATAAGGATAGAGTCTGGTTTACACTTAAAGGCACTCCTTTAGTATTCTCCAATATAGGGCTATTTACAATATCTCTACATGCTGCTTAATGAGGCAGTTAAGGTTGATGAAATAATTATAATAATAAATTATATAACTATTAAAAGTTAAAAAAAAACTTTTTGTGCTTATCATATGTCCAGTCCTTGGCTTAGGATTTAAAATGCACCATCCCATTAAAATCCTCATGTCAGTCCTACAGTGTAAGCAGTATTACTTGTTCCTCTCTAAGAGAAAGAAGCTGGAGCTTAAAGAGGTTGAGTGTCTCTCCAGGTCACAGTGCTGATAAAGTTTCACTGCAGTGTTCAAACTCATGCAGTGTGTCTCTGAGGTCTGGAAGTCTAACCACTATTTCACTTCCTAGAATCTCTAAAGTCTCATAGTCTGGAGAACTGTAGGCAGGTATTTGAAAACAGACATATACATGGGCTATTTACAAGCTCTCAGTACATTCCAATTACCTTAATGCTCAGAGCTAAATGCCAGAGAATTGCCCTTAGGACTAGATGCTTTCTCTTTCTCTCTCTCTCTCCTCCACCCCCTCTCTCTATTCCTGTTTCTTTTCCTTAGTTTTTTCCTATCAAGAATGATGGCTAGAGCTTTTATCTTTATTCTTTCTACTTTGGAATTCTGAGTTCTCTTATCCATCATGTAGCTCCTGGTACCCCATATTCTGAGCACTACAGTGGACTTTGCAATGTTTTCATTTCAGCACACATTTGAGAGAATAGGAGAACATATGGCAAATGGCCAACTTTATTATTATTCTTAAAGAATACTACATTTTTGGTGACTTGTAGAAATCTACAAAATTTAGCAAAGTTTGTACTTTGTACTTGGGAATCC